AATATCGCAGTTTCCAACCAAATTACTGTCTCTGTGTTGGATCAACTTCCTTGGTCAGTACTCTTCTTGCTCAATCTTAGCCTTTCCTCCATAGGAGTGATCTTTGGGTTGCAGATCCACCATACCACCCAATTCCAGTATCCTTTTGGCATAGTGAGTCTGTCTAAGGGTGATGCCATCGGTGCTCTCTTTGTACTTCAATGCCCGGATAGAAGCTTAAGAGCCCGAGGTCACTCATCTCAAATGTTGCTTTCATTTCAGCCTTGAAGCTTTCAACATCCTCGCTCTTTGGCCCCTGTGATGATCAAATCATCCACATACACACCGACAAGCAACAGAGAGTTTCGAACCTCGCCTATAGATTGCAAATTCATGGTTGCTTTGTGCGAAACCTTTCTTCTTCAATGTTGAATCAAGCTTTGCATTCCATGCTCTTGGTGCTTGCCGTAGGCCATACAGAGCTTTTGTGCAAGCGATACACCTTGTCTTCTTGTCCAAAGAACAACAAAGCCAGGTACCGATGCACATATACCTCCTCGTTGAGGTCTCCATTCGTAAATGCGGACTTGACGTCCATCCGATGAATGTACCAACCCTCTGTGCCGCCAGAGCCAACAAGACTCGAACGGATTCCATGCGTGCGGCGGTAACAAAGCATCATCATAATCCACGCCTTCTTCTTTGGACAAAGCCACGAGCGACAAGTCCGGCTTTGTGTTTGATAACATTACCGTGTTCGTCCTTCTTCAATTTGAACACCCACTTCAGGGTGATTGGACGGTGGCCAGCAGGAGGCTTCACAAGCTCCCAGGTCTTGTTTCTCTCTACTGATCGCAGCTCTTCTTTCATTCTTTGCGCCACTACCACGCCGATCTCTCTTGGCTTGGCTTCAAGATAGTTGGTTCGCCAGAGTCGTTAGATGCAGCTCTGCGAATGCAAAGTTGGTTGCGGTGTGGCGGTGGGTCTTTGGCCAATGATATTGGCGATTCTCAGAGCGAAGTGGTTCATCCTCGTGATAAGCATCCATCGATCATCATCATCCTCCGTAGGCGTGGCAAGCTCAATCGAGGACTTGGTGGCGGTGGTGACACTTCCAGTGCGGCCGGAGCGAAATTAGCTTGAGGATGAGTTGATCGCGAGCCCTCTGCTCCTTCAACTCCAATTGGGCTGTTTGGTGCGAGTGTTCTTGGTGAATCCGGGAGCGCGGGCGGCGACGGCGGTGGCGTCTTGGTTCGCCGCCTCCTCGACCGACAGACATACTCAATCGTGAATTCACTTCTTTGTTCACGGTGATGGCCCAGATTCCGGCGAGGACCAATCCCAGCCATGTTCTTCATCAAATACAACATCACGGCCGATCCCGACACGCCCGCTCACAGCTCAAACACCCTATATGCCTTAGCTCCTTCGCATAACCAATAAACACGCCCGGCCTCGCCATGCGGTCATCAAGTTTTTGCAACCGGTAAGCTTCCTTGTGTATGCCACACACCCAAACACTTTCATGTGTCCCAGAGTTGGTGAAACGTCCATGCCAGCCCTCATATGGAGTGATCCCTTCAACGCCGCGTGTCGGTGATCGGTTCAGATGTGGATCACGTCATCACAACCTCCCCCAAAACCGAAATGGCAGGCCCCTCTCACTAAGCGGTGCCCTTGCCATGGCCACTCTTGGTCGATTTGCGCCGTTCAACTACCCCATTCTGCTTGAGGTGAGTGGGGAGCACCGAAGTGCCTCTTAATGCCTTGTTCTCAAGCAGAGGTAGCGAAATCAACAATCGCGTGAATTCTCCTCCATTATCGGTCTGCGGCTTCACCGAGATTTCGACCACTCTCCGCCTCTGCGCTTTCGCTTTGATGCGCTTGATGGCTTCTCTTCTTTGCATCCTTGCTTGGTATGAGCGCCGCCCACATGAAACGGCTAAGCGTCATCGACGAGCGGCAGAAATATCGATTCCCTCCGTGTGTTGCGGTGTCACCGGGTCCGCGAAGATCGCCGTGCACCAAATCAAGGGGCTGTTTGGCACGTCTTGTGTTGCGGTACTGAACAGGCGCCTTCTCATTTTGGTGGTGACACGGTGTCACACACCGCCTCCACATGGTCAATAACCGGGACACATGCCATTTTCCTCCTTCCCAAGTCTGCGGAGTGCATCAAAATTCAAATGCCCCATCCTCTCATGCCACTGCCACGCTACATCTCCTCTGCATGCTGCAAGACAAAGTGGCTGGGCTGCATGAAGTTGGAGTGTGTACAATCTGTTAGCCCTCTCTTCACCTTGGCAATCAAACGGCAGCGGTGTGTTCCCGAGATCGTAACACGTCGTGATATATCTCCACCTTGGAGCCGGTCTCGTCAAAGTGACCCGATCGATAATGGAGTTCTTCGTATCGGTATATATACACGCCTGCAAAGACTCTATGCTCACCAGATTCTTCCTTCGAAAGCAATCGAACCGATGCCTTTGATGTCAACCTTGGGCGCATCTCCAAATCGGACCGTGCCTCGCGCGTCCGTGTTCAAGTCGAGAAAAAAGAGCTCACGCCGTCCGGTCATATGGTGTGTAGCTCCACGAATCAAGTACCACACATCTGCCTTTTCTTCATCGCCATTGGCACCAAGGAAGGCGCGGGCTTTTGGTTCTTCCAGATTCACCTCTTGAGCAGCATAGGTGTATGCCGGCGTGCACTTATCAAGATCAACGAGCCCATGCGCCAGAAACAGAGCCCCATCATCCTCGCATTCTCGCATCTCGCACACGGCCATTGTGGCGCCATCACCGCCGCTGCTTCCCCACTCGGCCACCGGCGTCGCGCCCTTGATTACCACCGCACGCCGCCACGCGGCCTGCGCCCGTCCGCCGCCATGGTCACCGCCACCATCACGGTCACCATCTCTCTGTCTTGCCGTGGATGAGGCGATCTCTTGCCCATGGCCCTCCCGCCACAATTGTGGCGAAATATCGCCACGGCGTCCACCATCGCGGCCGCCGCCACACTTCTTTTCTCGCCAACACCGCGATCATGCACCACCACCGCCGCCTTGGCCGCCATACGATTCTTTGAACTAGAGCCGGCAGAATCATCCCGCCCCCTTCTTCTCCTTCTTTCCAACATCGCCGCCATTGCTCCTCGATATACATGAGCTTGCCACGGCGGTGATTGGCTCGATAGGCGCTTGCTCTTCACGGTCATCAACAGCCTTGAGCCTCCCAGTGGCTTCCTCAAGCGTGAGCATGTCAAAGTCCAGAAACTGCTCAATAGCAACCACAATCTGCGCATACTTCGGCGGTGATCAGACGCGATACTTCTCCACCACGCCTCTCATCGATGTCACGATCACCATGAAGGACAAGGCGCCGATCGCGAGTTGAGAGGCGGAAGGCAAAATCTTCGACGCTCTCTCGACTTGACACTCGATGTTCTCCCGATCGCGGCGGATGCGTTGCGGCGTCGCCGCGCGGACCTCGCCCACGCCGATGCGCGCGGCGCTATGGCGTCCCACGCCTCGCCGCCGTCCGCTTGTCGATGAGCGGAATCCCCATCTCCTTGGGAACCGGCTGCGACAATCGCCTCCATAGCCCGCCCGGTGTCGCGAGCGAGACCCGCTCTCCTTCAATGCGTCCCCACAGATCGCGGGCTGCATTCGCAGATTTCATCTCTTGGCTCCATTCGTGGTAGTTCGTTTTGGACAGCATCGGCCCGATTCGTGCCATTTGCTTCGAAGTCCTCATGATACACCTGTTGCATTACACGCGACTCCGTCGCCCACACCAGCCCACGCTGAGGATGGTGGCGGAGATGGAGACCTCCGCTGGCATGAAGCTCTTGACCTCCTCCTCTCCTTCTTCATACTCCAGCTCCTCTTCTTCCTTCTCTGCTGCAATCTCCTCCTCAAGACTCACATGGCATGTCCTTGCCGCCTCTCTCTGCCTTGCCATTTGCCACAAGGCTGGCCACTGGACCACTTCTTGTGCCCTCCTCTGCTGCTTTTCAAGCCTTGGCCCGGCGGAGGAGTCCTCCCGATCGGCCGACGCCCTTGGCAGCCTTCCTTGGCCTTTCGAGAGGATGTCGAGGCCATGGATGAGAAAGCAGGGAAGGGGGCTCGAGTAGAAGATGAGAGAGAGGTGTCTAACCTAGGCTCTGGTACCAATTGTTGGAGGTACTGAGTGTTTTACTCAGCCAGGGATTATACACCCAGGCGACTGCTCTTTCATATATAGGAGATAAGTAGCACATTGATTACATTGATGGCTCATTAGAGCATTAACTAAACAGCTAACTGCCTGGGTACTTGCACAGTCACTTGTGCTGCCCAAGGCCTTAATAGCAGAAACATAAATAAGCACAGATAACTAAGTGATAACTGGGAGCAGGACTTAACTTCTACATCTCTCTCCTACTCCCCCATTCCAAATTATAAGTCGTTTTAGCTTTTCAAAATACATAGTTTTTTTTCTGTGTATCTAGACATAAAGTATATCTAGATGCATAACAAACCCAATATACATTAAAAAGGCAGAACAACTTATAATTTGGAATGGATGGATTACCTATTTATGTCTTATCACATGCGAGTAGATATTAAGTACATGATAAATCTATATAGGTACTAGACATAATTTAATTATGTGCAGCTGGATTTTTATTTGTTACTAGCTAGTTCTATACTTAATTATTTCATTTGGATGTAATGTTATGCAAATGCGGTTGGATAGTAGTGTTTAAAATTAATTGGTTTACTCCAAAGTGTGGTCTAGACACCACTAACTACATACAACATGAATACATTTCTCCACTACTAAAATCAACTATACTTGTTTTCTTGGAGATTCATCGTTTCTTCTCGGGTGAAAAAATACGAAAAATGTGATTTCATAAATTAATCAGAAACTCGACACATTTAAAATACTAGGGATTTTTTTGAGGAAAAATCAAAACGTTTACTGTAGCTGGCTTAATTTGTTACTAACAGGGCTTTTGTATTACTATGTATGTAGATACTTCATTGTTATCGATGACATACAGGATATCTCAATCTGGAGAATGATTAAGTGTGCTTTGCCTGCTACTAATGATGGATGCATAATTGTCACAACAACACGCGTTTTAGATGTTGCTAAACAAGTTGGTGTTACTTACAGGATGAGACATCTCTGTCTTGAGAACTCTAGAATACTGTTACATAGAAGGATATTTGGAACTGGAGACAAAGGTAAATATGTTGATGATGAGTTGATCGAAATATCTGAGAAGATACTACAGAGATGTGGTGGAATACCCTTGGCTATCATTATGATATCTGGATTGTTGGCTACTAAAGGACGAAATAAAATAGAGTGGGATAAGATCTACAGGTCTATGAAGTATAGTGGTCCAGATGAGGGGAAAATGAAGATGATTGTGTCGCTATGCTATCAAGATCTGCCATCACATCTAAAGACTTTCTTATTGTATTTAAGTGTGTTTCCAGAAGGTTATGATATTGACAAAGATCGTTTGATACGGTTATGGATCGGTGAAGGTCTTATCCAATGCGGAAAACAAGATGGGAGCCCATTTGAGCTCGGAGAGAGTTATTTTTGGGAGCTCATAAATAGATGCATGATCCAACCTGTGTATAAAAGGTGGTACTATGACATGACAGAGTGCTGTCATATGCATGATATGGTACTTGATCTTATCTCTGAAGTAACAGGCAAAGAAAAGTTAGTTCCTGTATGGAATCATATGCATCACACGTTTCATTCACAGGAAGTTCAGTGGTTATCCCTTCAAAACAGCATGTTAGATCATGCTACCCATTGGGCTACTATGAACATGCAAGGAGTGAGGTCAGTTGTTGTATTTCCATCTGCTGTTGAACTTTTGCCAGACCTTGCATGCTTCAGAGATCTGCTTGTGCTGGACTTACAAAGCTGTTGTCTATCACAAGGCTGCAGTCTGAAGCATCTTGGGAATTTAGTTCACTTAAGATACCTGGGACTGAGAGACACAGGTATCAGTCACCTTTCTGAAGTTGGGAAGCTGCAATGTTTACAAACGTTGGATGTAAGAAGAAATGAAATTTCTAGCTTGCCATCAACTGTTAATGAGCTCAAGCATTTGATGTGCCTCCACATTGACAGCTGGACAAGAGCGCCAAATGGGATTGGGACCTTCACATTGCTTGAAGAGCTGTCAACGTTATGCATCCAGGACTCCACAGATATGATAGAGGAGCTGGGCAATCTAACAGAGCTGAGGGTGCTGGGTATTGACTGCTGCACTGAATGGAACGTCAACGGGGTGGAGAAATCTCTAGTGGAGTGCCTGCACAAGCTGCAAAAAATCCGGATATTATCTATCTCAATGGTTGGTGAATGCAGCTTGGATGCCTGGGTCGCCCCTCAACATCTCCTTAGATTGGAACTAACCGGATGCTGGCTATCCACAGTGCCAGCTTTGCTGAATGATCCATCGCTTCTTCTGGAGCTCTCTTTCCTGTCCATGGAAGTGAGGAAGCTTGGGCAGGAGGATCTGGAAAGACTTGGGAGGTTGCCGGCTCTCAGCTATCTCGACATAGAGGTGGGCAATCAGAAGCTTGGAACTGTTCAGACATTCACCATTGGTGCTCGTTCCTTCCCGTGCCTTGTACACTGCACGCTTCGGGGATACATAGGACCCGTAGTGTTTCAGCAAGGAGCCATGCCAGAGGTGGCAAGGCTTCACCTGGTGTTCCCCGTGCGAGAGATCAGAGAAACTGCAGGCATCAATAGCGGTTTTGACTTGGGTTTCGGGAACCTGCTGCGGCTCCGAGATGTATCCTTTTTGCTCCGTCGGGGAGGTGCCAGCAAGGGCGAGGTGGAGGAAGCGGAGGCTGTGCTGAGGCAGGCAATTGAAGGCCATCCCAATCGTCCCACACTTGAGATACTCTGATGAAGATGAAGGTGAGCTATCTCCAGTGACTCCTTCATGTATATGCATGTACTGTCTCTTGCAGGCTTGCTGCTCACACTGAAAGGCAATTGGAAGGCATCCTAGCCAGCCACTATATTCTGTTACTTTTTTGTCAATGCTAATTGCCAACATCAGTTGCAGGAGTAACTGGGATCCTGCCGTTGGCCAATGACAGCAATAATGCGCGGATGGCCCTGCAGCATGGCCATATGATCATTATCATCACCAGGGAAGATCTCGATTTCGAAAGAACAAAACGCAAGGGTGTTGACGCAACAAGCTTCTAGCCTCTTTCACTAATCTTTAGAATCTTTATCTTTATGGTCCTCGTTTGCAGTAACATGTGAAGACATGAGTTCTTCGTTCTGGAAAAAAAAAACAGCGACATCGTGTTCATTTGCGACATGTGTGCGCTTGTAGATAGGGCGTGTGTTTTTTTCAGTGTAGTGGTTTGATTAGTTCATGTAATCATGTTAACGAAGAATCAAAATCTCGCTTCATCAGCTTCATCAATGTATTTGCTGTGCACCTGTAGCCTTTGTTCACAACAATCTTCAGTAGGACCTCGTTGCAGTGTAGTTGGGGATCTGTAACTGAAGGGATTTGCCTTTGCGTAATGGAGCACAGTAAAATAAACAACTGAGTGCGATGGTTTGATTACCCTATTTTCCACCGACGCGATGTTAATGTTCATTGCAAGTTGTTCATATGAAGCTTCTTCAGAGAGTAGGAATTTTGGAGGCAGGTACTTGGCGTACCCTACAACTTATCTTGGTGACATGTCTCATCGCTAGCAGAATCGCTGCGCGTTGACAAATATTTCATCGGAGAGGAAGGGGTTTACAACATTGGGCATTAACAAAATAATATGAGGGTAATAATGAATGATATACACAAGATGTGTTGGAACGACGTCTGAGAGATTCGAACTGTCGCGGGGAAACCCCATGTACTTAGCAGGCACACGCCTTAACCACTCGGCCAAAGCGTCCCTTCTTGGTCTGTTTTTTTTTTGTATAAAACTATATAACTCAAGAAATATAGTGCCGCTGGAGAATGGCATGCATGTGTGGTTATATAAAAAAGCTATTGGAGAGTATAAAGATACAGAAAACGATTTTTACTCAAATGACTCTTCAATGGGCGATTTAGAGAGTGCATGATTTTATTTTCTTAAAATCAGCCAAAAAAATTGAATGCCCCTTATACCACCATCAACAATTAAAGGGGTGTTTGGGACTGCTCCGCTCCACGATTTTCAGCTCCACTCTATGTTTTTTAGCCAAACAGTTTCAGCTCCACGCACTCTGTTCGAAGAAAAATGGTGGAGTTATGAGAGCACCTAAAATGGTGCTCCATGAACTCCAGGTTTTTGTGGACCTGCTCCACGGTGGAGTTTGTGGAGCAGTCCCAAACACCCCCTAAATGCTCCTAGGCGTGGCCCAAATCCCTCTTACCGTATATGTAATTTTTTGGCACAGCTTTAGATGTTGGGCCAAATGTTGTACACTCCCGGCCCAACATGGAGAGGAGATTGTTAAAGCGTGAATGTAAATGAACATGATTGGAAGAAGTGTATCTTTCATTGATCTCTGAAATATATACAAGTGAAGGGGTGTCACAAAGGAACACGACTGTTCCCAAAGGGAACCACTGAACAGACACGACTGTTCCCAAAGGACATTCCCTTTGAAAGTAAAACTAACTATTTAATCATATCCACTAATCTTGTGCTTAAATGGATGAGATCACTTCGTGAAAAGGCGTCTGTTGGTGAAGAGGCGTCATTTCACAACACTACCCCTTGATCGAATCTTCCTTGAGATCAATGCAGCTATAAGCCGAGAATCTCGAAAAACCCTATAGGAAAAATCTGAGGAATATATGGATATGCCATAAAAACTCCTTTAAACCTTATTTGAAAAATAAGGAGAAAATAACATATTGTGTGTGATTTAAATAAACCACTATGTCATTGGTATCCCATTAAAACCCCAAGTGGGAAAAAAATATTGGAGATGCGACATAAAGATAACTCTCCCAAAAACCTTTCGAAAAAATATGAGGAGCAATGTAAAGTGATATGCCGCTAAAAGTCTTGCAAAATCCAGTGAGAAAATCAGGAGAAAATGTGACGGCATACTATTGTTATTGCCTCTTAGATAACTCACATGAAAAACCTTTTCAGGAAAAACAATGGATGAGTTGTGAGGGTAATATATGTCGGTGTTTCGAACAAACACCGGCTAGTAAATTTATAATTGTTGCGCGTTAGGCTTGGATGGTGTACTAAAGGACACAATGTTTATACTAGTTCGGGCAGAATGTCCCTACGTTCAGTTTGCTGCTACTCGTGTTATTAGTACCGAAAAAGGTTCGTCGTAGGGGGTACAAACGGTCGAGAGAGGGACAGGTCCCAAGTCTCTGATGGAAAGGTCGAAAGGACGCCAAGAACTCGGTTGCTGCTTGGCTGTGTGTTGTGTGTGGAATTGATTCGTCGTCTTGCGTATCCAAAATTGATCGGTCCCCTTAGTGGGGTGCCCTGCCTTCCCTTTTATAGAACAAGGGGGAGCAGGGGTTACAGACGGGAGAAAGAGGAAAAAACAAAGGTAGAGAAGGTCCTTCGGGGAGCCGGGTCTTCCTTTTCCCCTGTGCCTGCCCTGCTAACATGACAGACCGTGTCAAGAATGGCATGTTCGTTGATCCTTATAGGACAGTGCCCTGGCCTCTTTCAGCAAGTGGGTGCGTCCCATCCTACACCGGCGGACGGTGTAGCGTGCTAGAGAGCCGAGCTGTGACCCTTCGGGGAGTAGACGGGGAAGTGACCAGACGTCCGTCACTGTAGGTGATGTGAGCTCTGTTTTGGATCATAGTGGTTGTCCTATGCTTGTGTTAGTATCCGCGTCTGAGGGCTGATGGCGGCACCTACAACACTGTGGGACAAAAGTCGGCGCCTACAACACTGTTCGGGCTCTGTCAGTTCGGAAAGGGCCTAAAGCGCCCGTCCCATCGTATCCGAATAGTACCTTCCTGCAGGCATGCAGGGCATGTCCTTCGGTACTACGGTTGACTCGAATGTCTTGTCGTACCCTGTGCTCATCTTTATGAAGGAATAGGGTGTAGTTGTCGGGCGAGGCGGAGCCAGCCCTCGGACATCGGGCGAGGCGGAGCCTGCCCTCAGCTGTCGGGCGAGGCAGAGCCAGCCCTCGGACGTCGGGCGAGGCAGAGCTAGCCATTAGACGTTTGGGCGAGGCGGAGCTTGCCCTTAGCCATCAGGCGAGGCGGAGCTAGCCCTCAGCCGTCGGGCGAGGCGGAGTCTAGCCCTCAGGGGTTGGGCGAGGCGGAACCAATCTTCCATCGTTCAGGCAAGAAGCGTAGTAGCGTTCTTGTCTGACCGGAAGCATCAACGTTCGATGGTTATTTAATTCCACCTCATTGGGTACCCCAGTATTAGGTCCTCGACAGTAGCCCCCAAGCCCTTAGGTGATTCAGACAGAATCGCCCGGGGGGTGTTTTGACTTGCCAGAGGGTGCACGCGAGCGCACCCGATGGGTGTAGCCCCCGAGCCCCCGGGTGATTCGGGCAGAATCACCCGAGGGGTATTTTGATTTGCCAGAGGGTGCACGCGAGTGCACCCTCCGGGTGTAGCCCCCGAGTGATTTGGATAGAATTGCCCGGGGGTAACTTCGGACCCTTCGTGGGTATGGCTGTGAGATTTGGTTTTTGTCAATCTGGACAGTTTAAAGGAAACCCTGGTATCCCGTTCATGGGGATTCATCCAGGGTTAGCCCGGTTGGGACTTGATTTGCGGATCGAGGTTCCCTTAAGGCTTGTGTTCCTGAGTCCTGGCCGCTCATGGGCCCATCCCTCGTTGGGATGGCCATTGAGACTGTTGGGCCAGCCTTTGAACTCCTGAGCCTAGGTGGGCCAGAGGAGAAGCCTTTTGACCCGTATCCCCTCTGTGGGAAAAGTGTCCTGGTCTGCTTGGGGAAGGCAAACCACCCGGCACGATTTTAGTGGGAAAGGATAGGGATCACGGGCGCGTATCCCACGACATGATGCTGCGGTGTGTCGTGGCAGGCTCAAAGACCTAGGCGGGCGGTTGCCCTTCTTGCATCCGTCGCCCCTATAAAACCGAGGGGTTCGCTCCTAGGGTTCCGTACATTGCCTCCTCGCCTTCGCATCGACAACCTTGCCACCAATCGCCCGAGCCTCCTGCACTCGCATCACGGCCGCCGTCAAGCTCGCATCTGCATCGCAGCAGCCATTGAACTCGCATCCACCCCCCTCCCCATCGTTTTAATGGAGCTGTGGTGTGGATCCAACATCACCCCTCAGCGCCTGGAGGGCCTCGTTCGCCATGGCCTCCTTCGCCCGCTGACCGCCGCCGAGGAGTGGTGGCTGCCCAGTAATGAGGACCAGCCATCCCCGCCCGAAGGGTATGTCGTGTCCTTTGCTCACTTCCATGAGCGGGGATTCGCCATACCTGCTCACAAGTTCCTTCGGGGGCTGTTGGATTACTACCAGGTAGAGTTGCAGCACCTTACTCCCAATGGGGTCTAGCACATTACGACGTTTGTCGCCCTGTGTGAGGGGTTCCTAGGAATTAGTCCCCACTTCGATCTGTGGCAGTATCTCTTCGCCGTCAACCTATCAAAGAAGCGGGTTGGGAAGCAAGAGCTGAGCATGTCGATGGGATGTGCCAGCATTCATCTGTGCAACAACTGGGTGAATGACTACCCGTCGATGAGTCTGTCGACCTCCAACAAGGGGTGGCATTCGCATTGGTTTTACGTCAAGGACGACGTGGCCGCCCCCTTGCTAGTGTTCTCCAGGTGCATCATCGAAGAGGTCCCGAGGTCGTGGAAGTGGGGTGTCCTGGACAAAGACAAGAAGAGGATCAAGGACCATCTCGCCGCCCTCCAAATTCTGAAGGAGAGGGGCGTGAAGGGATCGGGGATCATCGGCGCCTATCATAC